ACTTGAGCCAAGGAAGTCAAGGCTATAGTCGGCCATGGCTGAGTCACTGCACTCCAGCCTAGGGAACAAAGCAGTATCTAGTCTCAAAAAAAACAAAAAGAGGCCAGGCATGGTGGCCTGTAATCCCAGCACTCACTTTGAAAGGCCGAGGTGGGTGGGTCACCTGAGGTCAGGAGTTCAACCAGCCTGACCAATATAGTGAAAGCCCATCTCTACTGAAAATACAAAAATTAGCAGGTGTGGTGGCGTGCGCCTGTAGTCCCAGCCACTGGGGAGGCTCAGGCAGGAGACTTGTGTGAACCCAGGAGGTGGAGGTTACAGTGAGCCAAGATCACACTACAGGCACTCCAGCCTGGGTGACAGAGTGAGACTCTGTTGGGGGCGGGGGTGGGGTGGCGGAGGGGGGGAACAACAACAAAAAAAACTCTCATGATCAAGCCACCCAGGGCCATGAAATATGCAAACTAAGCCACAGCTGTAAGCCAGCTCACCTGAAATCTGTGTCCTAGAAAGTACCAATTGAGACAATCTACAGTGAGTCTTGAAATAACTGCTTCTAGTTCTAGATTTCACCTCATTACCCTGTGGGTAGTCCCTCCATATTGCCCAGCTCCACTGGCAAAGTGGGCCTCTCCTGAGCCTCCTGGATGAACCTGACTTCCATGCTCTCATGGGCCAGGATATGGACTAGGAAAGTTAAATCCAGAGAGAAGACAGGGCCTGGTGAGATCTGAGCAGCATCCTTGCCTGTTCTTCCTGACCAGGGAGGCAGAACAATTCATATACAAGAAAACTTCTAAGTCAAGAGTACTTGAAAGAAGTGACAGGAAAAATATTACCTGAGGAAATATTGAAGGAGGAACAACAACAACAAAAAAAGGCTGGGGCATTGGCTTTCTTCACCTTGGGTCTTAATCAGCCCTTCTAAGAGCCCTGATATTCTGCCTGCTGCTGAGGCCAGGGCTGCAGAGACTGAGCTGCTGCTGCCTTTTTTCTTTCTTTCTTTTTTTTTTTTTTCCTTTTTTTTTGAAAGAGTCTTGTTCTGTTGTCCAGGCTGGAGTGCAATGGCGAGATCTCGGCTAACTGCAACCTCCGCCTCCCGGGTTCAAGTGATTCTCCTGCCTCAGGCCTCCCAAGTAGCTGGGATTATAGGCAACCGCAACCATGCCCAGCTTGTCTTTTTTTTTTTTGTATTTTGAGTAGAGATGGGGTTTCACCATGTTGGCCAAGCTGGTCTCAAACTCCTGAACTCAGGTGATTAGCCCACCCCAACGTCCCAAAATGCTGAGATTACAGGCGTGAGCCACCGCGCCCGGCGTGACCTGCTTCTTTAGTCTCTACAAAGACTGTGGCTCAGAGGAATCTAGGCTTTACATACCATCTCTCCCCCAAGTCCAAGGGCTTCTCTGGACTGTTCCTTCATTTATCATCTCTCAATCAGAAGTGCTTTCACAAAGGTTGTCAGGATAGTACTCTCTGGTCAAAGATAACCCTTCTCTCTGAACTCGGCAGGGTCTCTGACGGCATCATTAAGGGCAATTTCATAAAGCAACCAGGTTCCTGCCTGTTTACAGGCAGCTCCAGCTTCTGAGAAGTGAGCATGCAAGTGAAGGGAAGCCACACTTTCTGCAGCTTCCAGCCCTAGTTCTGCCACCCAGGCTTCAGAAGGGCCCCACAAAATTCCACCTCCCCCTGCATTACGTCCCACCTTATCATCCCATTCTTATGAAGTCACCCTCTCCTGCGGGGCAATTCTATGTTGCCGCTGGGCCTGGTCACTGATAGAGGAGGGCGTCGGCTGGGCCTACCCGCCAGGGGCCGCCTCACCCCATCAGGCCCACATCCTCCAAGAAGACTAGCCAGGGGTAAAGTCTCACGTGGAATACCCTCCCGACTCATATTCCCTGACCCTGTCCTCCCTGCGAGAACTCTAGTATGGGCTCCACAGAAGGAGCAGTAAGCTTTCGTACACTCCCAAGGGGCAAAGAAGCAGGGGGCGTTCACCTACACCCCGGCCGGGCTATGGTCGGGTCCCAAGCCCCGGCTGCGGCTGGCGGGCGCCCTTACCCATGCTGACTCTGGAGCGGGCCGGGTGGCGCTGCCCATCCCCGGATCCTTCGTAGGTGGGTAGCAAGACGTAGGGCTGGGACCTGCCCGCTAGCCAGTCTGCAGAGCTTGCGGGGCTCGCGCAGGCCGGGCCAGGCCAGACGGGGCGGGGCCCTAAGGCTCCATCCGGATGGTTCCGAATACAGAAAAGGGCCCGGCCTTGGCGCAGGCCAGTGCACCAGCCACCGGCACGGTACCGCCCAGATAGGCGCCTGGCTGGCTCTCTCTGCGTTCCCCCCGGCCGCCGCCTCACAGGACCGGCGGGAGGCGGAGCCGCGCGCGACACATGGCCCGGGCCCCGCGCGGCTTCGGGCCGCCGGGGGGGAAGAGGAGGGGCCGCCCGGGGACTCTCAGCGGAGCCTCCCGGCAGCCCGGAGAGCAGCTCCTGCGGCCCAGCCCCCGCCCCGGCGTGCTGGCCCCGACACTCACCCGAGGGGCTGGCACGATGGCGGCAGCGGCGGCGGCGGCGGCGGCAACCCAGCGCGGTCTGCGACCGACTGTCCCTTCCCCCCTGCCTTCCCTCGCCCGCCCCGCTGCACTCTGGGAGACGCAGTCCCGCCGCCCCCCCTTTCCGGCATGAGCGCACCGAAAGAAAACTACAATTCCCGGTGTGCTATGCGCGGAGGCTCAGACACGGCCCGCAGCGCAGGAGGTGAGGCTAAGCCGGGGAGGGAGGCTGCCGGGGCAAGCCCCTGAGAATTGTGGTCTAGCGGAAGCCTCTGGAACACTGGAGGTTGGCGCCAGGCTAGGGTCAGGGCTCAGTTGTCGCCAGGTCTCAGCTGGCTCGGCCCCGCCTAGGCTGTGCACCAGGGTGGGGGTTGGCCCCGCCTCCGTGGGAGCCCGGCCCGGCCCTGCCTGGCCCCAAGCTGGCCCAGCGGCCCCTCCCTGGGCCCCTGGGCCGTTTCCGCTCACGAAACCCCCTCCCTTTGGGGCTATGGCTGTCGCTTCTGCTCTTCGTAGCTGTGCGACCTTAACCAGCTCGGGCGGAATCCATAGCTTCTGCAGTGCCAACATTCGTGCGCGTGCCCCTGCGCCAGTCGGGTCCAAAGCTGGTTTCGAGCAGGCTAGGCTGTTGGACCGAAGACTCAGATGTCCCTCAGGTGGTGCTTGGCTGGAGAAAAGATTACTCTCAAACTTCTACAGTCAAGGGTCCCCAAAACATTCTGTAAGGTTTTTTTTTTTTGCAGCAGGCAGAGCAGCTCAGTGTTTCATTTTTATTAATAAAGAGAAATAACTGACTTAAAGTTTCCCTGTGATTTAAGTGACCAGATTGTAAATAGTTCTCTTCCTACCCTTGCCCTTTCCTTTCAACGCCCATTTCATTGTTTCCTTGGTAACACAAACATTTGAGGTAAGGCCAGTCTCTAGGTCAGGCCTGTGCTTGGCAGAGATCTGCAGCCAACCTGGGGTATCACAGGTAACGGAAATGGCTACAGGGTCTCTCCAGGCAACTCCTAGCCTTCCCTCCTGGCTGGAGATCTCTCAGTACTCCTGTTCTTCCGGAAGAGTTTTGCACCTTTACCCACCTCCAGGCCACCCCTCCAAGGGACAGCTGGTAAGACCGAACGACGCTTGTTTTTTAAATCTCAGGTCTGTCAACACTTTGCCTGACAAGATGCTTATTACTCAGCTAGTGAGAACTCTGCATTGCCTCCCTTGTACATCTGCATCTGGGATCCCCCATTTTCTGTGAACTGCCTTCTCCCTAAGAAGCCAAAACACTGCCCATAACCTCCAGATACCAGGAAGGGTCCAGGGAGTACTGCTGAGAGGCTCAAGAGAGCCAATGGAGAAAGACTAGAAGTCCCTTCAATAAACAGGAGTTCAAGGATACGCTGAAGAGCATGGCTGGAGCCTGGAAGAGGCCTCAGTACATGGAAGGAAACCAGGAAGATGTGAGAGTGGCCCAATAGGGGCAACAAAGGGCACTGAATGTGCTTCCACCACCTGATTAGCAGCCAGAGCTAACCCTAGGAAGGCAGAGATCCAGTCCATCCCCCAATCAGGCACCCACACAACCTATGTTTCACCCCTTCTTCCCCACCAGACTTGTTTCCCAACTCAGTGCTAAGGCACTAGAAGGAAAACAGAGACGTGAGTTTTAGAAACATCCCAGCATATCTCCACAGGCAAGTCCCCAGGAAGATGGCTTTGTCCTAAGTAACAAAGAGAAGGGAGTCCTACTTTATGGGGTCAGAAGTCTCCATTTGTGCCCTTCTACCCACATTTAAAGGCATTCACTTTTAGACATAGGCTTTGAGCTAAATTACTTGGAGCTATAGACCAAAAAAAGTCATCTTGCCCCTTCAATATCCAATCTAGAAGAAAATGAGTTAAAGGATCACACCTCCGAACTCCTTAATGCCATCTGTGGATACAGATCTGTCACACTGAAGATGAACCAAGGCCAAGTTATCTATACAAGATTCCTTGTGCCTGAAGCAGCCCTGGCTAGCTCCAGCTGTGGTCTCACTGGTTCAGAGAGTAACTGCATGCACATGCGTACCAAAGGCTGTGCTAAACCTAAGGGATGTCACGGTGAGCAAAATTCAATCCCAGCTGAGAATTCAAAACCCTCAGAGGTGAACAATCACAATACAGCTTAGTTACCAGTTGCTACATCTTGTTGAAAGGACGCGGAGAATAACCCATGGACAAACTGGACCCATTTGGTGCAGTTTCCAAACACTTTAGGGTGAGCTGAGCCAGGAACTCTTGAGGACTTTATAAGGCCAGGATCCATGTGCTTAGGGCCCATTTTTGGAAAAATCTGGTCACTGAAGCATCTCTACTTTCAGGTTTAGCCTGGTCTTTCAAATAGGCTGAGGTCTATTTCTCCATGTTTCAAGGACATTTAGCTATGTTTTTGTAAAAATAAAATGGCGAGACCCAAATAAAAACCTTACTTTTTGTTTAATTTGTTTTGCCAAACAAACACAGTGAAAACTTTAGTCTAATTGTACAGAAAATAGAATTTGTAACCAGTAGCAAACAAAACAGGATAAACCTAAGTCCCTGGCAAGCTGGACCTCCATCAGCAGGTCACCCAGATCCCCTTCTAAATGGCCTGCTGGGGAAAGAAGTCCTAGGAGGCAAAAGCACAGATTTACCAGTCCCCGTCAGAATCACAGGCTCTACCTGGGAAGGAAAAGCATGAAAAGGAGAAGTGATGTTACTTGAATCTCTTATCACTACACACATTAGAGTTGTCTGACTGCTGACCAACCTTAAAGTATGGTTTTCCCAAACCCATAGTCCCTGGACATTCCACCTGCATCCCTAAAAGGTAAGTTTCAAGTTCAGTGGTTTTGAAGCCTCTGCTTAACCAAAATCTGCAACAATAACTGGGGAGGAAGGGTAGACAAAGTCATAATTGCTGGTGTCACCAGGGCAGAGTCTAAGGCCCCAGCTTCCACTTCAGGAGGAAACAACTGAGGGTGCCAGGTCACCAGTAAGAGAGTCCAGTTGCCTTAAGCCTCAGTACTGTCGACCAGTGCCCCAGGAGTATAGAGGAGTTCAACAGTGGCCTGCAGTCCTCTGGGCTGGATGGGGTCTGGGAGTCCAGCAGGCCGCCAGGGAAACAGTTCACATTCCGTGCTTCTTGCGGATGACAGCCATGGCAAGCAGCCGATCCTTCTCGCGCAGTTCTTCGCGCAGCTTGGCTTCGGTGAGACGCAGGTGGCGAATGTTGCCTTTCATCTCTTTCATCTTCACTTCCATCAACGCCAGGATGTCCCGCTGCTCATTCAGCTTGCGCAGGAGCTCCTCCTCCGTGGTGCCTGACGACAAGGAGTACGAATGGTCGGAGCCAGTATCAGGGAAGCCCTCTTCCCCTACCACCACCAACTGGGGGCCTATAGGGCATTCGGCAGCCTCCAGCCCTGCAGTAGCAGCCTGTAGCTCCGAGGCGGCGGCCGCAGCGGCTGCGCCCTCTGCGGCTGCAAACTCCACTTGCACTGTAAGGTCGATGGGCTTCACGTCTTCTCCAGTGGAAGTGATGGGCGCCGGCGGCACGGATCCGGGAGCCTGACTGCTGTCTACAGCGGCCTGGAGGGTGAGAAGCACGGCCGCCGAAGCAGACACCAGGTTCGGCTGCAGCTGGGCAGTCTGGGCAGTGGAGGCAGAGGGTGACGACTGCTGCTGCTGCTGTTGCTGCTGCTGCTGCTGCTGTTGCTGCTGCTGCTGCTGCTGCTGCTGCTGTTGTTGCTGCTGCTGCCTGCGGCGGGCGGCCGCGGCCCCAGCGGGTCTGCGCGCTACTTTGCGCTCATTAACGCCGCGCAGCGGAAAGATGGTGGGAACGCGTACCGTGTAGGTCTTGCGGCCGCCCTGGAAGTGAACGCTGCAGAGACGGTGGCCTGTGGTGGGCTGGAAGGTGGAGAAGCACCCACTGACGCCGGCACGCGACACATTCTTGAGCCAGAGGCGCCGCAACTCAGCGTCCTTTGGAAACGTGTAGAAGTGCAGCGCCTTGTCCCGGTGCGAGTTGTTGTAGCAGCCTGGCACGCAGCACGTAAAGCCAGGCATGGCTGCGCCGCGCGGCCCGGCCCGGCCCACCGGCCTCCTGCGCCCGTCGACGGCCCAGTGGCTCCGCCGCCGCCCGCCCCTCGACGGGCGGCGCCGCGCGAGGCTTTGGGTAGTATTCCACCACTGCCGCTCGATGCAGCCGGCCTGCCCGGCGCCCCGTGCCCAGAATATGCTTCCTGCCGGCCCGCGCCGCGCCGCCCGCCTGGCTGCTCGCCTGCGCTCGGGAGTCGGCCCCGGGGACGCCGCGAAGGACCGCCTGAGAAAGAGACTACGCCCCCCACAATGCACCGCGCCAGGAGGCGCTCACTTCCGGGGCGGGTGTACGTGAATTCTGGCTGCCTTTCAGGACACTGCGCTAGCCTCCGAAGAGCAGATTCTTTCCTCAACTTGGCTTGTCCCCAGCGGCGGGCGAGAGAAGCGTATTAAGTTGGAACGCTGTCGCCTGGACTGCTCCTCACAAGGACCCAAATCCTGATAGGGGCGGGGAGCGAGGCGGTAGGCGCCTCGGCAGTGCGCAAGCGCCATGGGTATATGCCCACGGAGACTACCAATCCCGTGATGCCTTGCGCTGAACTCGGTAACTTCGGTCCGGAGCGCCGCCTAAGGGCAAGGTCGAGTTACTGCGTACAAGAATTCGGGCGAGGTTGTGCTGTTGGCCCAAGCAGTCCCCCAGTCCCGAGCGCCTTTTGAGTCAACGGCATTACTGCAGCAGAAAGAGACGAAACCTGGGCCTCGGCGCCCCGAAAGGTCTCAGGAGCTCTTTGCGTTGGGGACTCTCTCGTGATTCAGCTGCTGCCTGCTTTTACTCACTTACTCAACAAAGTCACCAGTAGACGCCTACTATGTGGCTGACACAGTGCGGGGAGTTTCCGGGAGCCAGACTGACTGGGCTTCTCTCCTGGAACCCAACTACATAGAAGGATGAGGGTCTGTCTTTTGTATAATATGTGATGCACGCAAATGGATCACAGAAAGTAAACGCTCCAAAGGAATGAACAGGAGAGCAGAGAAATACAGGGGCAGGGGGTGTCCAGGAATAAAAAAACGACCAAAAGCTTGGGTAGAGAGAAGTACCCAGTTCTTGTCCCGGGAACCAGTCTAAGGCCACATGGCAGAAAAGAGCTAGGCTCCGCCCTTAAAGAGCCTCGAAGTGGGTGGCCCTGGTAGACCAAGCGTAGGAAAATACAAAACTGGGACAAGTTAAGGTTTTAGGGTTTTATTCTGTAGGCCACTGAGAGCCGTTAAATGATTTTACGAGAAAGGATTTGCATTGTAACAAGACACCTCCACCCTACCTCAGCTTCTTTGGAGGAAAATGTTTTAAAGAACAAGAAAGGTTGTGGAAAGCCGGGAGGGGCCAGGCAGTTCTCCAGGGGAATTACCTGCAAACTAGCCCTCCTTTGCCGAGTTCCCCCTTCTCCCAATTTTTTTTTTTTTTTTTTTTTTTTTTTTTTTTTTTGAGACGGAGTTTCGCTCTTGTTACCCAGGCTGGGGTGCAATGGCGCGATCTCGGCTCACCGCAACCTCCGCCTCCTGGGTTCAGGCAATTCTCCTGCCTCAGCCTCCTGAGTAGCTGGGATTACAGGCACGCGCCACCATGCCCAGCTAATTTTTTGTATTTTTAGTAGAGACGGGGTTTCACCATGTTGACCAGGATGGTCTCGATCTCTCGACCTCATGATCCACCCGCCTCGGCCTCCCAAAGTGCTGGGATTACAGGCTTGAGCCACCGCGCCCGGCCCCAATTTTTTTTTTTTTAACTTTTATTTTAGGTACGCAGGTACTTGTGTCACCGCAATATGTTGTACAGATTATTTCATCACTCAGGTATTAAGCCCAGTACCCAATAGATACCTTTTCTGCTTCTCTCCCTCCTCCCACCCGCTTCCCTCCAGTAGACCCCAGTGTCTGTTGATCCCTTCTTTGTGTTTATAAGTTCTCATCATTTAACTCACACTTATAAGTGAGAATATGCAGTATCTGGTTTTCTGTTCCTGCATTACTTTGTAAAGGAAAATGGCCTCCAGCCCCATCCATATTCCCGCAAAAGACATGATCTCTTTCTCCTTCTTCCAATTTTTCTAGTCCTGCCTTACTCTTTCACCTAACCCTCACTCCTCATTTTTTTCTCTCCTGATAGCAGATCAAAGGCAGGAAATGGAAAGGAAACCTAATACACATTCTTTTTTTTTTTTTGAGACAGAGTTTCGCTCTTGTTACCCAGGCTGGAGTGCAATGGCGCGATCTCAGCTCACCGCAACCTCCGCCTCCTGGGTTCAGGCAATTCTCCTGCCTCAGCCTCCTGAGTAGCTGGGATTACAGGCATGTGCCACCATGCCCAGCTAATTTTTTGTATTTTTAGTAGAGACAGGGTTTCACCATGTTGACCAGGATGGTCTCGATCTCTTGACCTCTGACCTCCCAAAGTGCTGGGATTACAGGCGTGAGCCACCGCGCCCGGCCAATACACATTATTTCTAATTACAGTATTTGACATAAAAACAAAACAGGCAGTGCTTGGTGGCTCAGGCCTGTAATCCCAGAACTTTGGGAGGCCAAGGCAGATGAATTACTTGAGGTCAGGAGTTCGAGACCAACCTGGCTAACACTATGAAACCTTGTCTCTACTAAAAACACAAAACTTAGCTGGGCATGATGGCATGTGCCACCATGTAATCCCAGCTACTCGGAAGTCTGTGGCAGAAGAATCACTTGAATCCTGGAGGCAGAGGTTGCAGTGAGCTGAGATCACGCCACTGCACTCTAGCCTGGCTGACAGAGTGAGACTCCGTTTCAAATAATAATAATAATAAATAATAATAAATTTTAAAAAGGCTATACTTGGTGGGTGATGCCTGTAATCTCAGCACTGTAGGAGGCTGAGGCAGGAGGATCACTTAAGCCCAGGAGTTCAAGACCAGCCTGGGCACTGTAAGTGAGATACACCCTCCATCGACAACAACAACAAAAATTAGCCACGCATGGTGGCACGTACCTTCACTTCCATTTACTAGAGAATCAGAGGTAGGAAAGAATGGCTTGAGCCCAGGAGGTCTAGCCTGTAGTGAGCCAGTGCCCTCCATCCTGGGCTAGAGAGCAAGAACCTGTCTCTTTTTTTTTTTTTTTAAAGAGACAGGGTGTGGCCAGGCACCTGTAATCCCAGCACTTTGGGCAACCAGGGCGGGCGGATCACGAGGTCAGGAGTTCGAGACCAGACTAGCCAACATAGTGAAATACTGTCTCTACTAAAAATACAAAACTTAGCTGGGCATGGTGGTACGCGCCTGTAATCCCAGCTACTCAGGAGGCTGAGGCAGGAGAATCACTTGAACCAGGAGGCAGAGATTGTAGTGAGCTGAGATCACACCATCACACTCCATCCTGGGCAACAGAGTGAGACTTCATCTCAAAAAAAAAAAAAAAAAAAAAGAGGGGGCCGGGCATGGTGGCTCACGCCTGTAATCCAAGCACTTTGTAGGCCAAGGCAGGTGGATCACCTGAGGTTGGGAGTTCAAGACCAGCCTGACCAATATGGTGAAACCCCATCTGTATAAAAAAATAAAGGGCGGCGGGGGGGGGGGGGGGTAGAGAGAGAGAGAGAGAGAGAGAGAGAGAGAGAGAGACATGGTGGCCCACACCTATAATCCCAGCACTTTAGGAGGCGAAGGAGGGCGGAACACCTGAGGCCAAGAGTTCCAGACCAGCCTGGCCAACAAGGAAAAACCCTGTCTCTACTAAAGATAGAAAATTAACCGGGCATGGTGGCGTGCGCCTGTAGTCCCAGCTACTCCGGAGGCTGAGGGAAGAGAATTGCTTGAACTTGGGAGGCAGAGGTTGCAGTGAGCCAGGATCATGCCACTGTACTCCAGCCTAGGTGACAAAGCAAGACTCTGTCTCAAAAAAAAAAAAAAAGTGGGGTGGGGGGCGGGCACAGTGGCTCAGGCCTGTAATCCCAGCACTTTGGGAGGCCAAGGCGGGCAGATGACTTGAGATTAGGAGTTCAAGTGAAACCCTGTCTCTACTAAAAATACAAAAATTAGCTGGGTATGGTGGTCCATGCCTGTAATTCCAGCTACTCCTAAGAGGAGGCAGGAGAATCGCTTGAACCTGGGAGGTAGAGTTGCAGTGAGCTGAGATCATGCCACTTCACTCCAGCCTGGGCGACAGAGTAACAGACTGTCTCAAAAATAAATAAATTAAAAATAAATAAATGAGTAAATAAAAAGAGAGAAATAGAAGACAATAGAGAAAAAGAGCTTTTCTTAATTCCAGCAGCCAAACAACACCATTGCATTTCAGTTTCCACCCAATGTGATCCTTGGTTATTTGTGTAAGTTTCACTGACCTTTAACAGAAGAAAGTCCCATTCCTCAGCTGAAGGAGTTCAAGCTGAGGTCCACAGCTTGAACCACTTCAAATCGAGAAATGCATTCTCTAGTGTGCGTAGCCCTAGTAAAAGATATGCATTCATTTGGGTGAATCGTTTATACAACAGCATAAACATAAACACACATATTACACTTTTTGTTTATTTATTTGCTTATTTATTTTGAGACAGAGTTTCGCTCTTGTTACCCAGGCTGGAGTGCAGTGGTGCAATCTCAGCTCACTGCAGCCTCCACCTCCCAGGTTCAAGCAATTCTCCTGCCTCAGCCTCCCAAGTAGCTGGGATTAAGGCACCCGCCACCATACCCAGCTAATTTTTGTTGTTGCTGTTGTTGTTGAGATGGAGTCTTGCTCTGTTGTCCAGGCCAGGGTGCAGTGGTGCAATCTCGGCTCACTGTAACCTCCAATTCCTGAGTTCAAGTGATTCTCCTGCCTCAACCTCCTGAGTAGCTGGAATTACAGGCAGGCACCACCACACTCAGCTAAGTTTTGTATTTTTAGTAGAGATGGGATTTCATTTCACCATGTTGCTCAGGCTGGTTTCAAACTCCTGACTTCGTGATCCACCTGCCTCAGCTTCCCAAAGTGCTGAGATTACGACGCAAGCTACCACACTCAGTCTACTCATTTTTTTTTTTTTTTTTGAGATGATGTCTTCTTCTGTTGCCCAGGCTGGAGTGCAATGATGCAATCTCTTCTCACTGCAACCCAAGAATTGTTCAAGCGATTCTCCTCCTCAGCCTCCCAAGTAGCTGGGATTATAGCTGCCCACCAACATATCCAGCTAATTTTTATATTTTTAGTAGAGATGGGGTTTCACCATGTTGGCGAGGCTGGTCTCAAACTCCTGACCTCAGGTGATCCACCCACTTCAGCCTCCCAAAGTGCTGGG